TCTAAAAAATAAAAATGCTTTCTCCTCTAGTCACATGTTATCATATACCCAAGAAAATTAAGAGGAATCTGCTCACATTGAATCGATATTCAAATAAAACCAATTATTCCCAAATTGCATTTTATAGATTTTTTTTTTTTTGTAGTGGGGATTGAGCCCAGGGATGCTTAACCACTGAACTACATCCAAAGCCCTTTTAAAAAATATTTTATTTAGAGAGAGAGTCTTGCTAAGTTGCTTAGGGACTCGCTAAATTGCTGAGGCTGGCCTCGAACTTGTGATCCTCCTGCCTTGGCCTGCCGAGCTCCTGGGATTACAGGTGAGGGCTGTTAGGTGCAGGACAGGCTGAGTCAGCTGTCTGCAGGGCATGCCAAACAAAGTTAACTGCAGGATGACCTGGCCACTCAACCCTCTGTCTGGTTCTTTATCAACTATTTGCTTCAAGCCCAAACGCCCAAGCCCCCACTCAAGACTGAACACTCAACCCCCTGCTCAAAGCCGAGCACTTAACCCCCTTGTGTGCCAACAAGGCAGTTTGCAGACCCAGAGACCCCATTAGATTTGGGCTATAAAAACTCCCTCCTGCCGGGCCCCTCTCTCTGTCTCTCTCTCTCTCTCTCTCTCTCTCTCTCTCTCTCTCTCTCTCTCTCTCTCTTTTTCTCTTTCTCTCTTTTCTCCTCTGTTGCACTGCTGCAATAAAGCTCTCTTGGTCGCTCTGAGTGTTGTGGTCACTTTTCTTTCAAGGGCCACCGGCTAGATGTTTGGTTTCTGAACCAGGACCCAAGAAGGTTTACACACGGCAGTTAAGACACTCAGTTGACACACTCAGTTAAGCTGAAGCCACACAGTCTTGCGTCTGCTTAGACTCTTCTGGTCTGGTACGGGTACTTGCAGTGGGTTTGGGGACTTGTTAGATGTGTAACTTCACAGGCCTCACCCCAGAGGACTCTGGGGGAGGTGCCCAGATATCTGTTCCAACCAGCCAGGGCCTTCTTCTTCCTGCCCAGGCTTAAGAAACCCTTAAGAAACAGCCCCTCATCTTTTCTTGCCTCTGCGACATTTACTTACAAAGAGACCAGCCTCGCTCGCTGTCTGGAGCACACCCCGTGTTCTGAACTTGCCAGCCTCATGTTCCTCGGTCCTCAGCTACTTGGTGGGTGACACTAATAAGCAGCCAGGTTAAGGACTGCTGTGACAGCTTTTGGCTGAGCCAGCAGAGCTCTGAGACCCTTTGGGTCCTTGGGGCCTCAGGCATCCAGGGAGCTCCGTGGGCTGGATCCCATTGCTGTCCCAGCGAAGTCACCTCATCTCTCCCTGTCAGCACAGACTAGGAATTTAGGGAACTACAGCAAGACCTGGGCTCACAGGGGACGCAGATGGAGGACAGAGGAAGCCGAGCATCTTCTGAGACGGGGGTGACACGAGGTACCTGGGAACCCCAGAGGGGGCATGGCTGCAGGATGTCAGTCTGCAGCCGGCAAAGAGGCCGTGTCCTATTCCTTCCCGGGCAGCAGAATCCAGGGACAGACTTGTGACCCCGTCACATTCCAAGAGCCTAGACCTCCTTTCAGTTTTCTGGTGTCCCTTATTACCCAGAGGTTTCATATCATTCTTTTTTCTTTTCTTTTTTTTTTTGGGGGGGGGGCGGTACTGAGGCTTGAACTCAGGGGCACTCGACCACTGAGCCCATCCCCAGCCCTATTTTGTATTTTACTTAGAGACAGGGTCTCACTGAGTTGCTTAGTGCCTCACTTTTGCTGAGGCTGGCTTTGAACTCACGATCCTCCTGCCTCAGCCTCCCAAGCTGCTGGGATGACAGGAGGGTACCATAGCGCCCAGCTCGTGTGATTCATTCATTTTTCATGCATTTTTAAATGCTAAATTGACAAAATTAGTGGATATCCACTACATCTTTTTTTATTATTATAATTAGGTGCTGGGAATTGAACTCAGGGTCTTGAACATGGTAAGCTAGTGCTGCACCACCAAGTCACACACCTAGCCACATCTTATAGTATTCATGGCATCTCATGGTCCATACCATAATTGTAATGAACTATAATCCCAAATCTGCCACTTCCAGAAGCGCCCCCCCCTCCCTTTTCCTTTAAGGTCAGAATAAAATGCCTGGAGTCTGCCCTTACTACATACCAAGGAAAATCAAGTCCTTCATGGTCTCTGAGGATCCCCGAGGTGGGGTCTCCCTCTCCTGGCTCAGGCAGTGCCTAGTCTTTTTCTTGACTGTCACTAATGTGCTTGGCTTCGGAAGTCACTCTCCTCTTTTTGCCCTTTTTTGGCTCTAAATGGAAGCCCCCGGATTCCTGATTGCTCCGAAGCTCCGCTAACTCAAGGTTGGGTGACGAACAATCTCCTTCCCTCAGCTGCCAGTACATACCTCTAAATTACTTTTCTTCCGCCCACATTTCCATCCTAAACCAGGCACTAGATGGTATATAGTCTTGGCATTTCTGAGAGAGGGAGGTGCCGTTCGGGGACTCCCCCTCACTGATGTAAATCTAAGTTGAGGAGGTATATATTGTGTGAGCAAAAGGCAGAATGGGACCTTCCAGGTTGCTTCTTCCAATATCCCTTGTCTTGGATTGCTTTTGGGGAAAATTTGCATAGAGCTCAAGGAGCATCTTGGGAAGAAAAGGAATCCGGACCACAATTCTTTTTCCTTCTGAAGTTCAATGTTTTTTTTTTTTAAAGAATTTTAATATTTATTTTCTAGTTTTCAGCGGACACAACATCTTTGTATGTGGTGCTGAGGATCGAACCCAGGCCACACGCATGCCAGGCGAGCGCGCTACCGCTTGAGCCACATCCCCAGCCCCCCTGAAGTTCAATGTTATTGGGAGTTTTGATGGACTGACTTAGTCCAGACTGGAGATCACAGACAGAAAAAGGACACTGAACTCATGCAAGAGGGAACTGGCCATGATCTACAGGAGGGGACCCAGCCTAAATGAAAGGTTCCAGGAGCACACAGGAAATCCGTCTGGTCTCTTGCAGTGTGTGGATAGAGCTGGAAACTCCTCCTGTCAAGCCATTAACATGGGGTGGGAGGGTAAAAGTTTTTTGTTCTGAGGTGATGATACCAGAGTGGCAGAGACAGAAGCTGTTCAACAGGAAACCCAGGCCCTCTAGTGGTTAATTCTCATGTTTTTGGACACATTGGGTGTCCCAAAGAGGTGATGATTTGTACACCAAGCTGGGGAACCTGCTATACTGTTTGCATTTGTAGATTTCCCCTCCACCCTCCAATCTGTTGTAAAGGGACAATTGTCTGCAGGTGTCTGTCCTTACTACTGCAGGACAGTGGCAGACATTTTGGAATGAAGGAGTTTCCTTTAACATATTGTAGATCCAATTCTTGGGTAGCAGTCCTCCAGCTTCTGATCTGGTCTGAGTGGTATTTTTTCTTTTTTTCCTTTTTCTTCTCTTTTTCTTTTTCTCTCTCCTCCCCCCATTCCATAGATCATTATGTAACTGATTTAATGTCTGTTTTCTTCTTTAAAAGGAAACTTCATTTTATTTTTTATTTTTTGGTACAGAGGTTTGAACCCAGGTGCACTTCACCAGTGAGCCACATCCCCAGCCCTTTTATTTTAGATATTTTATTAGAGACAGGGTCTTGCTGAGTTGCTTAGGGTCTTGCTAAGCTGCTGAGGCTGGCTTTGAACTCACCATCCTCCTGCCTCAGCCTCCTGAGCTGCTGGGATGACAGGCGTGGATTGCCTCTGTCTGTTGCTCTCTGAAAACAGTGTTGGGTATTCGTTCATTGATTTGATTACTTGTGGCAAAGTGCCCATCATGCGCCAGGCCCTGTACCAGGCATGGATGGGGCGGTGGGGAGTAGCCATTTGCCAAATCCTGTCTCTGCTCTTACGTAGCTTGCGTCCTAGCAAGGAGATAGGGATGACAATATGTGGCTTGGCGGTGGTGTGGGCTGCACGGTGTGTGATGAAGTCAATAAGGACCCGCAGCCCCAGATCCTTTGACCTTTGGGTAGGGACCTGGAGGGAGGGAGGGTGGGAGAATCCAAGGTGAAGGTCAAGGCCCTCAGGTGAGACCATGCTTGGCTGTCCTGGGAACAGCGAAAGGCCAACCTGGAGGCAGGTGGTACTGGGAAAGGAGCCCGGATGAGGCTGGAAGGCAGCAGGGCCTGACCTGCTACCCTGTGGGATCCTGGGGATCACTGAGAAGACCTGGGCTTTGATGTGGAGAGCTAGCGGAGGGTTCTGACCGAGCGACGGGTCTTTTAATAAGTAAGAACCACTCTGGCTGCTGTCCCATGAAGAGCTCATGGGACTCCAGAGAGGGAACTGTGAGCCAAAGAGGCCACTGTGACAGGCTCGCATGGTGGGGCTGCATCCAGAGCTGTTCTGTTGACATGAGTAGATAATTAGCCCGAGCTCCCTTGAGTGGACGTTGAATTATGTAACTCCCCGTAGCCACCCACTTCCCCGGCTTCAGAACCTCCTTAAGCCTTTGGCCACGTCTGCTGCCCATTGAGCTTCCCACACCCCGTGTGACCTAAGGTCCAGAGAACTAGTCTTCGGCCCTGTCTTTAGCCAGTATTCCTGACGGTTCCAAACCGGATGAGCTTCAGGGCCTGGCCTTGTGATTGGGTAACGTCCATCTCCATCTTTAGATGGCTGCTGCCCAAGCCCAGGGGCCCTGTCTGTCCTGCTCACTGGTCCGTCTGGAGCCAGTTTTCCAAAGGTGCTCAATAAATGATCGCTGAGTGGTGGCCAGATGAACTGGCCGGCTCTGTTCTTCAGGACTTTGGCCTGTTTCCTGCCCCGTCTGAAGGTTCCAGGTTGAAGCTGGACACCAGGCTAGGGACGATTCCCTGCCCCTCCCCAGAGTCAGGTCTTCAGTGCCCCCACCCTTGAGCCCTGGCCTGGGGTAGCAGCCCCCAGTCTGGAAATGCCACCTTGAGAGGCCCTATGTGTCCCTTGCCACCCTGCAGTCGAGACAACACAGCCACCCAGGGATAATTTTTCTAAACTTTTGTTTATTTTATAGCAATTGTCATGATAAGAGAAGTAGATAACACATTTAAAAACTTTCTCAGGGCCAAAGGGTGCCAGAGTATTTACAAACACATATTGGGGGGTCGCGGGGGCAAGACATGAGTCTGGGGCTCTGGGGCTGGGGTTCCACCCAGGACCCTGCCCCAGGTCCCAAGCCAGGCTTGAATGCTACCAGCCTGGGGGCTCTGTTCAGTGGACCTGGTGGGGGACCCTCCAGCTGGCCCGTGGCCCCACCTCCCATCCATGGGGCTCCCCACACCCCACAGGCCAGCTCAGAGGGGCCTCTGGGAAGCACCGAAGGACGGGGGCAGTGTGGGAGACACAGGGGCTTGGACAGAGGCCCGGGACGCCCTGGCCTGCCCCGGGGTGGGTCAGAGACCCCCACAGGTGCGCACACACACGTACACATTGTACCTTCACAGAGGAACCGCAAGGGGGAGGGTTTTTTGTGATTTTTTTTTTTTTGTCTTCTAAGTCTCCATGTCTACGGTGTTATTAATTTTTTGCTATTTTTTTGTTTCTTCAACAATGACATAAACTGAGGTAAACATCTGTGACCAACACCTCTCCTAAGGGGCAAAGGGTCCCAACCCGACCAACAGAGACAATAGCAGCAGCAGCGGCGGCGGCAACAGGAACAGAGTCCTGGCCCAGTTCCAGTCCTGCTCAGGGTCAGGCTGGTTGCTGCCGCTGAAAACAGAGGGGAGTGGGCTACATAGCTATGGTCCCCCGAGCTCTAACATCCTAGGTACTAGTACGACAAGGGAGGACACTCCCAACAGGATCTCAACAGAGAGGGAGAGGGAGTCTGGCGGGGACGAGGACTGGAGTCTCGCTTCCTTGTTATTGCAGGAGATCAGGCTGTCGAGAGGCCTAAGGCAAAAGGAGAAGTGGCTGCTGGACAGAGGGCCTGGACGGCCCAGGTGGCCGGGCAGTGACGGGGCCTTCTCTGAGATGTGGCCTCGGCGGGAGGGGGTTTGCTACTTACCTGGCGTAGGTGGGCCCCATGCCCTCTGGGAGAGGGGTCTCGAGGATCGGGCGCATTGGGGAGCGGGCCAGGCCCTGGATGACCACACGCTGATTGTAAACTGGGCAGGGCAGGGGACCGATAGCCCTTTTGCGTGGTGGGACTGAGGGGTGGGTGGAGATGTGGGGGCTCCAGGCCAGAGGGTGGTTGGTGTCCCCTGTCGCAGGCCTGGCCTATCAAGGAGTCCCCTCAAACGCTCCAGAACCCCAGGAGGAACCCTGGTAGAGGCAGCCGGGGCTGGTGGGCAGGGCACTGCCAGGCAGCGGGAGCAGCCTCACCCATGTTGAGGTTATTGCAGGCCCAGCCTCCACAGAGGCGGGTCGCGGGGAGCTGGCTGAGGCTGGCTCCTTTCCTCTTGGTTTTGCCGCCCAGGGGCCAGGACCAGGCCGCAGGTGCCTCCTTGCTGGATTCCCTGAGGGGTGTGGTCAAAATGCAGGCCTGGCCGCCCTCTTGACAGCTGCCTGGTGAGGAGGCCCAGGCAGGGGTGCAGAGGCGTCTGGCTGCACAGTCACCGGGAAGCACAGGGCATCCCACACATGTGCTCTACACACCCGCACACACCAGTCACTTGCCCTCGCGGGCTTCCACGCCCTCCCTCATGCCCACAGATGCCCTCCTACCCCTGCCTTCTCCAGGGACTACAGAGGTGGGGGTGGGGTCAGCCTGACGGGGCAACGTGAAAATGGAATGTCTGACCCCAGCAGCAGCCCAGGAGAAATGACTGTTCCAAACTAACTCGCTGCCCCTGGGGTCCCCACTGAGTGTCCAGGTGGAGCCCGAGGACTGGGAGGATCTCCCGGGGCAGGCGGCAGGTGCCTCTGCAGAGGGAGCTGGACCTGCCCTGGGCTCCCCTGCCCTAGAGGATGCGGTGGCCCCTGAGACCCCTGCCCTGGAGCCCTTCTGACCCCCAGAGGTGTAAGGACAGTAGTTTTGGGGATAGGGAGAGTGGAAGGACTACCAGAGCACCACCTCAGTGGCTGTGTGGCCAGGGCAATGTCTCCCCTCCTGGGCTCAGGGTTCTTATCAGCAGAATGGGGGTGTAGGGACACCACTAGATTCTTGGGGCCTGTGCCCGCACATATGTGACATCCAGACTTGTGCTACATTGTCCAGGGGCTTGGCCTCTCCCTCCAGCCTCCCAGGAAAGGGGCAGGATATGCCTGCCCTCTGCTGGATGCCCTCCTCCTTCGCACCAGGACTCGCGCCCTATCTCAGCCCTAAGCTTCAGTCCCTTTCTGTGCCCAGGGTGCAATGGGGACAGAGTGGAGTGGCCAGAAGGGCGGGGACTGTGGGATAATCTACCAGGGTGTGCAAAGGGCCAGGAGCAACTTGTAGGGGTCCCAGGGCTCAGGGAGGTGTGGGGGCGTCTGGCCCGCAAGCTCCCTGGCTCTGGTGTCGGGGCCTCTGAATCCTCGAGTCTGCGGGGTTTGGCTCCCTGGGCCGAGGCCCACCGGCAGGGCCGCGCAAGGTCTCCTGGTGGCTCTATCACCCGCCCGCCGGACTGGCCGGGTGCCTGGGCCGCCTACTCTACTGCTACTCCCTCCCGCCGCCGAGCGGCTGCTCCATATCCCGCCGCCTGGCAGAACCGGCTCAGCGCGGACCGAGGGCTGCTCCCCAGCCGCCCGGCTGCGTGCTCGGCGCCCTGGCCCGAGGGCGGCGGGGCCGGCTCAGACGCAGATCTCGATGGCCGTGGCCAACACCACCTGCCCTTTGCTCTTGTCCGGGCGGCCATCGGTCCTGCCAGGGGGCCCCGGGGGCGCCAGGCCAGCCTCAGGCACCGGAACTGGCACCGGAACGGGCACGGGCACCGGCACCGGCACTGGACCGACAGCGGGGGGCGCGGGCCGCGAGCCGCTGCCGCTCTCGGTCAGCACCGTGCGCTTGAGCGGCCCGGGCGCCTCGAGGCGCAGCGGCCCCGCGGCAGGCAGGCGGTCCCCGGGGCCCGGCGGCTTGCGCGCGCGGTGCGAGGGCCGCCGCCGCAGCTCGGACGTGAGCTCGTGCTTGAGGAAGCGGAAGACCTCCTTGGCCGGCCCGCGGCGCTCGGGCTCCAGGGCCAGCAGGCGCTGGAACATGCGCAGCGCCGGCTCCGTGAAGCGGCGCCACTGCGACGGCAGCCCGGGCAGGCGGCCGCGCTGCCAACGCACGAACTCCTCGAAGAAGGCGTCGGCGCCCGACGCCGCCTCCCACGGGAAGTTGCCGGTGAGCACGCAGAAGATGAGCACGCCGAAGGCCCACACGTCCACGCCCGTGTCCACCGCGAAGCCGTCGGCGCGGCCCGCCTGGCACACCTCGGGCGCCGTGTAGGGGATCGTGCCGCTCACGCGCTTCACGCGGCAGCCCACGCGGCGCGTCATCCCGAAGTCGGCCAGCTTCACCCGGCGACACTCACGATCGAACAGCAGCACGTTCTCAGGCTTGATGTCGCGGTGCACCAGCTGCCGCCCGTGCATGAAGTCCAGCGCCAGGCCCAGCTGCTGCACGCAGCGCTTCACGGTGTCCTCCGGGAGCCCAACCTGCCAGCCAGGCAGGAGAGCCAAGCTAAGTGGTGACCAGGCACGCCTGCCCCACCCCACCTCCTCCTCCACCCCACCTCCTCCTCCGTCCTCAGGCCCTGCCCCGGGCGCTGCGCCCTCTGGCTGCCTCTAAGTGGACATTGCCCCTCTCCTGTGGCTGCCCCAGGTCCTGGTGCCAGCCACCCTCCCCCATCCTAGCAGGCACTTTTCCATCCCATCTCTGGGGGGGGTGGTGGCTGTCATCCCCCACTCTACTCAATAACGGTGGCAATCCCAGACTGAGCCCCAGGTGCAGACCAGGTGCTGCCATAAGCCCCTTTTCAGATGGGTCTTATGTCCACTTCCCCTAAAGGACACTGAGGCTCCAGGAAGCCTCCTCCGCCAGCACTTGGCACAGCAGAGTCTATCCTGGGGTCTTCCTCACTCTCTCTGCCCCAGGGTCACCTCCTTTCCAGGTGGACCTGACACCTCCCACTTTGAGCAGCTCCTGAGCAAGGTGCCACTGGACTTGAGCCCATGGCCCTGCTGTCTCCTCCCGGGTGATCGTCTCTGTCGTCATCTGGCCTACCAGGGGCAGGTTTCACTAGGACAGGGGCAGGACCTTTCTCTTCCGCAGCTCTCCAAATAGGGAAGGACATACAGTAGGCACTCAAGAAATGCTTGTTGATTCAACCGTCTGACTCCTAGTCTCACACTCTGGGGACCCTGAAGACCATTTCCCCTCTCTATGCCACCACCCCAGGTACCTGGGGAGGGATGATGTCAAACAGGTCCCCAGCAGGCGCGTACTCCTGGGCGAAGACGTAGCAGTCCTCAGTCTCGAAGACCACGTCGAAGGCCTTGATGATGAAGGGGCTGGATGAGAGGCTGTTGGTGATGCTCACCTCCCGCAGGAAGTTCTTTAGCTTCGTTTTGCTCTTGTTCACAAACTTCAGTGCCATTTTTGTGCCTGGTGGGGGCCATGGTGACAATGGTGAGGCCTCTCCCTGTACCTTGCACCTGCCACATTCCCATACCTGTCTGCACGGCCTGTCCAGCAACAAGGCCCACCAGGGCTCTAGCAGGCATGACGGTCCCTGTCCTGTAGATGGGAAACAGGCCCAGAGAGGGGAATGGACTTGCCTGAGGCCACACAGCAGGCCTTGCTCAGGTGCGTCTGCTGCCCTGTCTGCAGCCCTCCACAGGAGGTGCTCAGGAGGCTGCTGCCTCCACCCCTGCTCTCCTGTTTTGTGGCCATGCTGTATACTTATTTGTGGCATCTCTTTTCCCAGCCAGAGCATGGCTCCTCGAGCACAGGAAACTGTCTTGTCAGCTGCTATGTCCCTGAGTCTAGCACAGAGTAGTTGCTCAGCAAAGATTTGTTAAATGGGTGAACAAAGAAGATACGACACTGAAAGACAAAGGTCCCTGACACTGTGCCTGGATAGACACGTGTGCCCTCCCGGATGCACACATGTGTGTCCACAGAGCACTTACCTGTGACAGGACCACCTCCATCACCTCACATTCACAACTCATGCTTCATACTGACCCTAGGAGGGGAGCGCTAGCCCTGTTTTCTAAATGAGGGAATGGAGGCACAGGAAGGTGGTCACTTGTCACACAGCAAGCAAGCAGTGGTCAGGGACCCATGTCCAGTACTACTCCTGCTGCCCTCAGTGGACACAGAGACCCGGCCCTGACTGTGTGCCCTCTGAGTGGGCACTGCTGTGAGGTGGGGGCTAAGCGAGATGGCTCTGGAACTAGCAACTGGGTGCCATCCAGGTTTGAGACCTCTAGCTGCACGACCTTGGCTAGGTGTGGGTCTCAGTGTCCCCCTGGAGAAATGGCGATGGTCACCCTGACCTCACCTTCTGACCATGGGACCCTACTCCCAAGGACCCCTCACTCTGTCCACCTCCCTAGGGCTAGCCATCACCACATCACCAACTCCCCAAGTACAACTGTACCCCCGTTCTCTCCCCCGAACTCCTGAGGTCCCTGGGTGCATCCCCTTGGCTGTACCAAATGGCCCCCAGATGGCCCCCAAATGGCCTGCCCTCCAGCCTGGAACTCTGCCCTGAGTCCTCCTTGTCCCATCTGCTCGGTCTCTTCTCTGGGTTGCTTCAGTTTCTGTCCCCTCCACCAGGACCACGGTCTCTGCCTCCTAGCTCCCCATCAACCTTAATAACGGCCACCCTGTGGACACTCACCTGTGCCCTTGTAGGCCACCAGGTCGACCTTCCCATAGGTGCCTTTGCCCAGCTCCCGGACAAGTTCATAGTGCTTGGTGACATCGCTGGCAGCCAGTGTGCGGAGGGTCAGTGCCTGCATGTCTTCGGTCAGGAGGGGCACACCTGTGCCCGGGCCTGGGGTGGTCCCTGGCCCACAGCAGGGCAGGGAGTGCGGCGGGTCGGGCTCTGGGCAGCCCACGCTCATCTTCTCCCTGTTGTGTGTGGGGGGTTCAGTGTGAAGAGTGACATCAGACCAGGTCCCCCTTCTCCACCTACCTGCTGCTGCCTCCCCTGCACCCAGGAAACACTCCTGGGCCCCATGCTAGGCCCAATATGACCACAAGGGGGCGACAAGCATCTCTGTCACATCACTTTCCAGAAGCTTCCTGGTCAGGCTGGAGCCAATCTCTGTGGCTCATTAGCACTTGTGCACCCCTGGCCCATTGGTCTGCTGCTGTCATCTACCTAGCGCCAGGCAAGGCACTCGTTTATGTCACAGACACAGCCATATGTCAACCTCAGGTGCTTTTTCTCATTCATAAGTTTGCCTTGTGCTTTGCTTTCTCAGGAGATGAAACGAGGACTGTGTGCAAGCTCAGCTCTCACTGAACCACATCCCGGCCCCAGCCCTGAATACGAAGCAAGTGCCGTCAGGCGGGCATCAAAACCCTAGGATGCAGCACTCACCCGACACACACAAATCCCTGCTCTTCCGTGCTTACGTCCCAGGGAGAAGGGACAATAAACAGAAAAAACACAAATTATATATGATGATCAGAGGGGACGTGGGCTGTGGGGGGGACAAGGCTGGGATGGATGAAGGGCAGGCCTGAGGGGGACTGTGGCATCCAGTGCCTCCACCACGTGGCCTTGCCTCGGCTCTGGCAGGACAGTGCAGACACGGCCACACACAGCACTGCCTAGACCTCCCCCAACAGATGACAACACAACCCTGCTCGGGCACAACACAGTTGTGGTCCCAAGGCTTCCTTCCAGTCACTGCCTGAGACTCCTTTGTTGTCCACACAAGCTGGGGTGGTCCTCCTGGACTCACCCCTCAAGGCCACTGCGTTTGTCCCCAAGTAGACCAGTGTCCTTGAATCTAACTGTGCGTACTGAGGTGGGAGGGAGCAGGGTGTCACAGGGGGTGAGTCCAGGGCTGGGGACGGGAGACCTGACTGAAAGGCTCCAAGTGGGTGACAGGGAGCTCATGCCCGATCCTGGACTTTATTTTTCCCTGTTATTTACTTCACTTAGTTTTCCTGCAGTCTGTTGAGGCGTGTCGGACAGAGGCACATCACTACACATATCCAAACCCCAGGAGCTGATGAGTCGTGACAGATCCATATTCATGAAACCACCATATGCCCGTCACCCCAAGAGTTTGCTTTTGCCCCTTATAAGCTCCTGACCCTCCACATCCTTGTCTTCTAGGTGTCCACTCTGGGACCTTCATTTCTTGCGTGCAAAGGGAGGGAGGGCTGGGCCTTTTCCCGGTGCATGCGTGAAGGTGTGCACGCATGCACGCATCAGCCGTGGGGGCCAGTACCCGCCCTCTATCAGCTGCCCTCCTGGCGCACCTCCCTCTGCCCTGGCCTCATTCCCTGTTACTTCTAATCCCAGAGGCCTCACCCAGCACTCCCAGCCCCCCAGTCCTCTGCTCCCTGAAGGACAAGCACCATCGCTCCATCTGAGAGAAAGCACAGATTTGGAGTCAGACAGTCTGGGTTGAGTCCTAAATCTGTCGCTTGCTTGCTGGATGTGATGGGCAGGTTAGTTCACATCTCTGGGCTTTGATTTCCTCCTCTACAAAAAGGATGTGACCACGGCACCTATTAGCTAAGCTGTTAGGATCAAGTAAAATGGTAGACATGAAGCACCTGGTACCTAGTATACAGTAAGTGCTCCATAAGTGCCTGGCATGATGCCCATATGATCATGAGCAGCATTTGCAGGGAGGGGCTGCTCTTCGGGAGCCCAGCATTCCCCCCCGCCCCCCCCCCCCCCCCCCCCCCCCCCCCCGGGCACAGCAGCTCCCTCCCAGGCCCAAAGCCTCTTCCTCTTCCCTCTCACGACCCAGCCTCCCACTTCGCAAGGAGGAGGAACATCAGGACGGAGCTTCCTGGCCTCCCACCAGCCCCAAGCGGAGCTCCATCTGCACCACCTCCTGGTTGGCTGGGGCGCAGGGAGCCCTCCCCCAGCCTGACTTCCACCCTTCAGGATTCGCTCCCTCCATTCATGAGCCAGCTCTGCTCGGGGACCGGGCTCTAACAGCCCCTTCCCTCCCCAGCTAGGGCCGTTTCTCTCCTAGTTTATTTTGATCAGAATGCGTGCTGGGGACTTCATCTGAAATGCCACATGGTCGCCCTCAGGGTCTAGTCAGCAGTCCGGTGAGCTCCTTTTAGAGACCCCTGGAGGGAGGAATGGCACAGACCTCCGGAAACCAAGTCCTGCCTCCCCTTCCTCTGCCCTCAGATCTTGATGGAACCAGGCGCCGAGGTGGTCCCAGCTCTAGGCTGCCCGGCTCTGGGTCTCTTTGCAGCAGCCACAACTGGGCTGTAGGGGGTGCTGTTTCCCCATGCTGCTCTCTCCTTGGTGTCTGGGCTGCCAGAGATCACTTCTTCCAAGCCCCAGCAAACATCCACTACCCGGTGATGAGGACCGAGTTGAGAAACTGCCTGGGCTGGCTTGGTGCCAGCAGGGAATGCTGTGGTTACTTTTGTGTGGGTGTCCTCAGGCCAGTGTGTCCCAAGCCCCCGGCCTCTGTGTGTGTGTGGTACTGGGGATTGAACCCAGTGGCTCCTGCATGCTAGGCAAGGGCTCTGCCACGGAGCTACATCCCCAGTCTAGGGATCTCCCTAGTTGCTGAGGCTGGCCTCAAATTTGTCATCCTCCTGCCTCAGCCTCCCAAGTTGCTAGGATTGTAGGTGTGTGCCACTGTGCCCTGCTCTCTTGGCCCTTTCTGTGGATGGTGTCGGGGAAACGCTGGGCTGCTCTCCTGACCTGGTCCCGACATGTGTAGACTCCCCAGGGCCGAGGTGGACAGTCCCTGTGGGTGCAGGCACATGTGTACACAAGTGTGCAATGCCCCCTCCCCTCCAGGTTTCAGCCCGGTGGCTTTGGACTGCTTCTGCATCCCCTGGGAGCTTGACTGGCAGCTGCAAGTGGGCACACGCCTTCCCTGCTCACACCAGGGACTGCTGGGTACCTGGCTTGCCCCTGCCCCTTTATCCTCCAAGCTGACCTGGGTTCAGCCCTTGCTCTTCGCCTATAGCCTCTGTGGCCCCAGCCAGTCTCCGCCAGCACTGCCCAGCCACCTCTGTCACTTGTGTCACTTCCCCGGCCACTCAGGCCTCGTTCCTCTGGGAAGCTTCCCTGATGCCTGGCAGGTGCCAGTTCCCACTTCTGTGAGCACCAGGATCCTGCACCCTGTCCCTTTCTCATGGGCTCTGCTGACCCTGTGGGGAGGGGGTGTGTCTGGACAGCGCTCCTGTCCATCAGGCCAGGAACTCCCCAGAGGGCCCAGTTTTGGGGGTCCCCACATTGCCCCCTCCTGCCTGTCCCTCAGGTCTGTTTTCCACAAGGAATCGATCCACACGCCTGTCCCGGCCGCCACGGCCACCACGTCATTGCCCAGGTAATCGCTGCCTCTGACCCAGTTACCACGCATGTGACTTAGGAGGCACAGTGGCAGTGACAGAAACAGCACGGGCCTCAAGGCTCCGCAGCCTTGATCCCAACGTGTGCCACACTTTGGCTGGGTGACCTTCAGTGGGTCCCACTACTCCTCTGGTCCTCAGTTCACATATCCATACAGTGAAGAAAACAAGAATGCCACCAGCACTAACTGTCCCTCTTGCTACAGGGCCAGGGGCCACCTTGCCTGATTCCCAATATCCTCCAGGGTAGGTTTTTTTTTTTTTTTTTTTTTTTTTTAATTTAATTAATTAATTTATCTTTGTGGTACTGGGGATTGAACCTAGGGGTGCTCTACCACTGAACCACATCCCCAGCCCTTTTTTATGTTTAATTTTGAGACAGGGTCTTGCTAAGTTGCTGAGGCATCCTCCTGCCTCAGCCTCCAGAGTCACTGGGATTACAGGCCTGGGCCACCGTGCAGGGGTAGGGTGAGTATTATTGATACACCAATGAGGTGCAGAGAGACTAAGTCCTGCACCAAGGTCACACAGCAGTCCTGAGCCTGGCTCCAGGCGGGCACTTCACCCACCATATCTTCTAGAGCCAGAATGCTGGGCTCAGCTCCCCCAGATCCCTTGGGAGCAGAGGGGGGCGGGGTCTCAGCCAGGGAAGCCCCGCCCCCCGGGCAGCCCTGCTGAACCTGCCTGGCATTGGGCACGGGGCTCGGGCTGCGCAGGCGCCAGCTGCTCTGCTCCTTTTCCAGATGAGAACCCCAGGCCCCGAGTGAAGCAGGGACATCTGAGTGGCAGCGGGCGGGAAGGCCGCGGGGCGTTTCGCCGGCGCTGGGGGGACTAGATCCTCAAGTACGCATTGTCGCTGCAGCAACTAGAAGGGCATCTGTGGCCTCTGCTGACCTCAGTCCCCTCCGGGTAGTAGCTGCCACATCACCCACACTCAGGCTCACTCTGCAGCCCCTGGGGACCTCCTTGGGCCATGCACCTCAAGGGTGTGTCCTCCGTGGCCCCAAGGGAGGCCCTCCATCTCCCTTCTGAGTGGCCGAGAGCAGGTGGGGCCCCTCTTTAACGCAGCAAGGGTGGCTCTGCCATATGCTGGGAGGGCCACCGTGGTGGGGGAGGGTTTCCCAGGAGAGAAGCGAGACTGAACCGCCCACCACTTCCTGTTGGCAGGCAGCTGGGGCTGGTGTCACCCTGCGAAGCTACACCCGACTCAGGCCTGCCTTGAAGCCCTGCCCCCACCACGCGTGGACACACAGGCATGTCCCCAGGCACACACGGACACACACGCATGTCCCTAGGCACACACGGACACACATGGACACACAGGCATGTCCCTAGGCACACACGGACACACAGACCCGCGCAAATACACATGTGCGCAGACTCTGGAACACGCGTGCGCATGTAGGGAGCGCTGCCAGCTCAGCAGAATTCCCCTCATTGAGTCCTCACAAGAACAGTGGGAAGGGGACAGGAAGCGCCCTATGTTTTCTGAAAAAAAGCTTCATGGGGGGACAAACTCTACATGACAAAGCCGTCCATCAAGAGCATGCAGT